AGCCTCTGGGCTCCAGAAACAAGGCAGAGGCAGCAATCCCTCATTTAGCCTGGTCAGTGACTTCAGAGCCTTAGAGAAAGTCCCAGCACCCATACTGCTCCTCACAGGCTGGGCCGTTCTGGGCAAGTAAATGCTTCTTTGGGTCTCAGTTCCCCACGAAGTCAGTGGTAGAAAAACCATTATGTCCCTTCCCCTTCCTCCCTTCTCCCTCCCTCACCACACACTCACACACACTCACACACACACCCTACTCCCTTGCTACTCACCATTTATAGGAAATGGGGGATGACGCGAGGAGCAAGGCCATCCTTGGGGAACTGCTAATAGTCTGGCTGAATATTGGAGAAACCAAAGATGCTGGCAAAAGTGCATTAGCAGCTTCTACTCCCCCTCCCTCTACGGCCCCTTCCCATTATCCTTGGGCTCAGAGCAAGCATTATTCTCTTTCTACAGAATATGTTACCCAACTGGGGCTGGTTACCCTGGAAGAAGGCTGAGAAGCCATGAGGCACCTGGAGTTCCCCTGATGTTCCCATCTCCTTGCCATCTCCACCATCCAAAGGCTGTGGTCCCCTTTGAGGTCTCTTTGCTTCTTCCCCTGCCCGCCTTAGGGTCAGGGGTGAGCAGTCTTTTAAGTATAAAAGAGCAGGGCCAAATCCTGGCGATGGACTTGGAAGTGGGAGGGATGGGTCCCCTGGACATAACAACTCCATTTCTGGGATTTCACTTGTCCCAAAATAATCAGATACGTATATCAAAAGTATGTGCATGATGGTCATCTCATCATAACAGTGAAAAATTAGAAGCAATTTAAATATAGAACAATAAGTTATTGGCTAAGCAAATTATGGCAAATTATGGAACATTATGCTGCCATTAAAAGTGGTGATGACAGGAGAATTTTAATTGACGGGGGAAATGTTTATGATATATTACCGAGGAAAACAGCCAGCTACAAAATAGTAATTACAGTGGGATACACCTTTTTAAAAAAATAGGTATAGCCCTGGCTGGTGTGGCTCAGTTGGTTGGAGCATTGTCCCGTGCACCAGGAGGTTCGGGTTTGATTTCGGGTCAGGGCACGTACCTGGGTTGCTGGCTGGATCCCCGGTCAGGGTAGGTACAGGAGTCAATCAATCGATGTGTCTCTCTCACATCGATGTCTCTCTCTCTCTCCCTCTTCCTCCCTCTCTAAAAAAAATCAATTAAAAGCAGGTATATACTAATGCAAAGTGATCTCCTGGACTGGATCTTGGAACAGAAAAGGGACATTAGTGGAAAACTGGTGGAGATGGAATAAGGTGTACAGTTTAGTAAATAGCACTCCACCAGCGTTGATGTTTCAGTTTTGATCACTGTACTATGGTTATGTTAACGTCAGGGGATATTGGTCGAAGGGTAAACTTTTCTGTAAATCTAACATTCTAAAGTTTAAAAAATGTTTAAAAATATGTTTTCATTTATTTCAGAGAGAGGAAGGGAGGGAGAGAGAGAGAAACATCAATGACGAGAGTCATCTATCCGCTGCCTCCTGCACGCCCCCTACTGGGGATCGAGCCCGCAACCCAAGCATGTGCCCTGACTCGAACTGCCATCTCCAGGATCATATTAGGTCCATGCTCAACCACNAGCATGTGCCCTGACTCAAACTGCCATCTCCAGGATCATATTAGGTCCATGCTCAACCACTGAGCCATCCTGGCTGGGTTAAAATTTTCTAAATTTATATGTAATGTATAAAAATCCACCAGCAGAGCCAGAGAGAGAGAAGAAATGACTTAAAAAAAAAAAAAGGTCCGGCCAGAGTGGCTCAGCAGTTGAGCGTGGGCCTATATGATCCAGGAGATTGTGGTTCGATTCCTGGTCAGGGCACATGCTCAGGTTGCAGGCTCGATCCCCAGTCGGGGACATGGAGGAGGCAGCTGATCAATGTTTCTCTCTCTCTCTCTCTCTCTCTCCCTCCCCCCCTTTCCCTTCCTCTCTTTCTAAAACAAACAAAAAATTAAGATAATCTGAATAAAACATAAACTTAAAAAAAAAAAAAAGACATAACCAAAAGGTGAATACTAGTTTTCTTTTTTTTTCTTAAATATATCTTTATTGATTTCAGAGAGAAGAAGGGA